CCCGCTCACCCAAACCGCTACATTGAATGCTTCATTAATCAACACTAGTTCGATTTAATTTCTAGAACCATTCCCTGGAATATGGAACCCATAATGCGTTCGAAAGGAGGCAGGTGTTGCAAAATCTTCAATGCCGTTGGTTCACTTTAGTAAATGTTTCTATTTCAGGAAGTTTATTCACGTATCGGATAGGACAGGTCGTAACAGGCTATCGATTTAGTAAAGCAAACACTGTTAAAGTGGGCCGGTTGACCAAACTACGACTTTACACTGGATTTGCATAATACCGGCCGATAGCCTCTCGCTTCACTTTAAGTCGATGTGGTGCGAGTTGCGACCGACAATCTGTACATACATATAATATAACTAGCTGTTGCCCGCGACTTCGTCCGCGTAGATTAATGCCTTCTGACAGAATTCATCAGAATCAATTCAGTGCCCAATTAAGATTTACCTATTGTGAAATGATTTATCGTAATTTCAATAAATTAAAAATCCCGCAGGGTTCTTACCAGTCCCGGCCCGATCACGTAAGTTTTGAGTAATAAAAACTTCGACTGTTGTACAGAATCTCTATGAAATAAGTTCAGTGGTTAAAAGATAGAGAGTCCTGGAGCATTGACGCATAGTTCCCGTTCCCGAGGGACTTCTGAGATAAAAACTATCATACGTTACTCAGGTCCCAAATCATCGTTTTACCGAATGTAATTCAAAAAGATTCAATGATTCTAGATTCAATTTTCATTCCCATTTTCACACCAACTATCATTCCCTATTTTATCCCCTTAGGGGTGGAATTCATCAAAATCCTTTCTAAGGAGATACCTATGTCATAGTAACTTTATGCATGCAAAGTCTCAGCCCGATCGGTTTAAAACTGGCAAAGTATCACACAAACTTTCACCCTCTATATTACCCACTTTGGGGTGGAAATGTTCAAAAACCTTTCTAAAGGGACGTGTACGTCATAATATCTACCTGCACGCCGAATTTCAACCCGATCTGTGTAAAACTGACAAAGCCTCATACAAACTTTCATCCCCTACATTATCCCATTGGAGTTGGAAATGATCAAAATCCTTACTTGGAGATGCCTACGTCATAACATCTACTTTCATGCCGAATTTCATCCCTATCGGTGTAAAACTGACAAAGTTTCATACAAACTTTCACCCCTATTTTACCCCCTTGGGGAGTGGAAATGATCAAAATCCTTTCTTAGAGGATGTTTACGTCAAAATATCTATCGGCACGCCGAATTTCAACCAGATCGTTTTATAATTGACAAAGTTCCATACGAACTTTCACCCCCTATTTTACCCTCTTAGGAGTGAAAATGATCAAAATTCTTTCTTAGAAGATGCTTACGTTATAACATCTATCTGCATGCCAAATTTCAACCTGATCGGTTTAAAACTGACAAAGTCTCATACAAACTTTCATCCCCTATTTTACCCCCTTGGGGGTGGAAATTATCAAAATCCTTTCACATCGGATGCTTACGTCATAACATCTATCTGCATGCCAAATTACAACCCGATCGGTTTAAAACTGACAAAGTCTCATACAAACTTTCATCCCCTATTTTACCCCCATTGGGGGTGGAAATTATCAAAATCCTTTCACATCGGATGCTTACGTCATAACATCTATCTGCATGCCAAATTACAACCCGATCGGTTTAAAACTGACAAAGTCTCATACAAACTTTCATCCCCTATTTTACCCCCATTGGGGGTGGAAATTATCAAAATCCTTTCACATCGGATGCTTACGTCATAACATCTATCTGCATGCCAAATTACAACCCGATCGGTTTAAAACTGACAAAGTCTCATACAAACTTTCATCCCCTATTTTACCCCCATTGGGGGTGGAAATTATCAAAATCCTTTCACATCGGATGCTTACGTCATAACATCTATCTGCATGCCAAATTACAACCCGATCGGTTTAAAACTGACAAAGTCTCATACAAACTTTCATCCCCTATTTTACCCCCATTGGGGGTGGAAATTATCAAAATCCTTTCACATCGGATGCTTACGTCATAACATCTATCTGCATGCCAAATTACAACCCGATCGGTTTAAAACTGACAAAGTCTCATACAAACTTTCATCCCCTATTTTACCCCCATTGGGGGTGGAAATTATCAAAATCCTTTCACATCGGATGCTTACGTCATAACATCTATCTGCATGCCAAATTACAACCCGATCGGTTTAAAACTGACAAAGTCTCATACAAACTTTCATCCCCTATTTTACCCCCATTGGGGGTGGAAATTATCAAAATCCTTTCACATCGGATGCTTACGTCATAACATCTATCTGCATGCCAAATTACAACCCGATCGGTTTAAAACTGACAAAGTCTCATACAAACTTTCATCCCCTATTTTACCCCCATTGGGGGTGGAAATTATCAAAATCCTTTCACATCGGATGCTTACGTCATAACATCTATCTGCATGCCAAATTACAACCCGATCGGTTTAAAACTGACAAAGTCTCATACAAACTTTCATCCCCTATTTTACCCCCATTGGGGGTGGAAATTATCAAAATCCTTTCACATCGGATGCTTACGTCATAACATCTATCTGCATGCCAAATTACAACCCGATCGGTTTAAAACTGACAAAGTCTCATACAAACTTTCATCCCCTATTTTACCCCCATTGGGGGTGGAAATTATCAAAATCCTTTCACATCGGATGCTTACGTCATAACATCTATCTGCATGCCAAATTACAACCCGATCGGTTTAAAACTGACAAAGTCTCATACAAACTTTCATCCCCTATTTTACCCCCATTGGGGGTGGAAATTATCAAAATCCTTTCACATCGGATGCTTACGTCATAACATCTATCTGCATGCCAAATTACAACCCGATCGGTTTAAAACTGACAAAGTCTCATACAAACTTTCATCCCCTTTTTTACCCCCTTGGGGGTGGAAATTATCAAAATCCTTTCACAGCGGATGCTTACGTCATAACATCTATCTGCATGCCAAATTACAACCCGATCGGTTTAAAACTGACAAAGTCTCATACAAACTTTCATCCCCTATTTTACCCCCTTGGGGGTGGAAATTATCAAAATCCTTTCACAGCGGATGCTTACGTCATAACATCTATCTGCATGCCAAATTACAACCCGATCGGTTTAAAACTGACAAAGTCTCATACAAACTTTCATCCCCTATTTTACCCCCTTGGGGGTGGAAATTATCAAAATCCTTTCACAGCGGATGCTTACGTCATAACATCTATCTGCATGCCAAATTTCAACCCGATCAGTTAAAAACTGACAAAGTTTCATACAAACTTTCATCCTCTTTTTTCTCGTATAAAGTAAAGGATAAAAAATGGTTATTGTGGGTTATTCCTAAGAGATAAACATATACCATCACGGACTTTTTTGTAGACCTTTTTAAGTTGTACAATACTGTAGTACATTGTTTTGATCTATCTTGTAGGATTCAGTCAGCGTTTGCAATGTAAGCGCAAAAAATGTGTTTTTTTACGACCTCACATTAGAAACCTCAAAAATTGTAGCCTATGTGTTATTCTGATGTATAAGCTATAGCCTATGTGTTATTCTGATGTATAAGCTATATTGTGGTAAAGTTTCATTCAAATCCATTCAGTAGTTTTTACGTGAAAGAGTAACAAACATCCATACATCCATACATACAAACTTTCGCCTTTATAATAGTAGTAGGATAACAGGTTCGTTTGTGATTTCGAAATGAATTTATGTTGGCGAGCACCTTGCTGTTCGCAAGATTAGTGCTAGCTTTGAAAGTTATAATAACTAATTATTGTTGCTCAAATATATTTAATTGATTTGGAAGTCGTTCACTGTAACGTTACAACTAAATCATGTCGTCATTGCATCTATTTCGATGCTAGTTTATAGGTCCTAATACCCACTTTTATCTATTTAATTGTTACTTCAACAGTTGCTCGCTTATTGGCATTTTTAAACCAAAATCTTATAGATGAGTCAGTGCTTCAGTCAAAAATCCAGAAGAAAGTGGTAGACGTTGTGAGTAAATATATAAAACTCGTTTATTTCATTGACAACGTCGTGATTAATAATTCCCATATAAATGTGTTACATAAATATTATATCGATTGGCCCAACGCGTCTCGAGATTCCATTCATATTTATTAACATACTAATGAGGTTTAATGGGTTTTATACAAACTTTTTAATGATTTCCATCATTTTCCTATATTGGTGTAAGTAGAAAATTTCCTTTACAACACAATAACAAGTATGCGTTGAGGAATGTTATTCTAATTTTCTTATTCTTATACTATACTTGTAGTATTGTATGACGCAACTATTTTACATTATGCTGTCACTAGACATAAACACACGCGTATTGTTTTTATAACACGTCAACTCTGTCACTATTACTATCAATAGCGGCTATGATTCTAATAGACATACCAATAGTAAAAAACAAGGAATGTCATCACTCACTGTTATATGATCAAACAAAATGTACCGTAGCGCATAGACCATTTGAATGAAGTCTAACGAACAATGTTTACTATTACATAGACTCATAAACTGGTTCGACATGACGTTTAATTTACGAAATCGCTGGAACAAATTGCTACATATTTTATAGGTTCATACACTTTCGAGTATCGCAAGTATATCTGTCAATAAATAACTCATAACAAGAACTAGCTTATGCTCAATGAGCGTCGCGCCATGTCTGCAGGAGTCTTAGGTCTGTGACACGATTAAACATTTTGTGGCACGCACGTAGGTAGCATGTATTTAAGGTTTCTATTTCTTTCCTTGCATAACAACTTACTATGATGCGATATATTTCAATTTCACTAGGGTTATAGAAGTCAAAATAGCAAAAAATAATAGGCGTTTGTATTGTACCCTCTAAAATTTCAGTGAGATTATGCTATCGAATGATTCAAATTGATACTATAAGGAATCTTTCTTGTTGTTTCAGAGAGCAGTACATATTCAACGTTTTTGAAGTCATAGTGAGCACGTTAGAGACGAAACTACAAAGAATAGAGAACTTGGACAAGGCCGTCGAACATTTAATGAGGAGAGTGGAAGCGCTCGACTCGAGAGTAAATGACAACATACACAAAACTGATGCTATCATATCAAAACTGGGGAACCTCGACCTAAAACTGTTTAGCCACATAGGCCAGAATGACGAGGAAAGCGTTACCGAAAATAGCGCTAAAAAGCAAAACGAAAACAAAAACAAGATAAGCGACGCACAGTTGCTTGACCGAAAACTGGAATCTTTAGATCAAAAAGTCTCGAATATCGACACGAAACTGGTAGGCCTTAAAAATCAGATCGACAGTAACTTTTTGCCAGTCGATGACATCAATGCCGAGGCCAGTGAAAAGAAACCTATCAATTTGAACGTAATAGAAATTGCAAAAGGTTTGAACACCGAGGTTATCAATGAAATCACTAAAGAAGTAGATCAACTGAGAAGCTCTGTATCGACAGTCGATCGAAAGCTTCAGTTCCATATCAATCTCGTCTCTGAGAACTTGGGCAAAGTACTTTACATGATGGCTGATGTACACGCTGCTATAGTCGAGCCTGAAGATGCTTCAATAAATGTCAACAGTTTATTCAAGAACCGTACAGCTACAAGTACTCAGGCCCCTATAACGAAAAGTAGTAAAATAGATACACTTGTAAATAAAATAATACCCATGATGAGTGTCTCAGAAAAGATGGATGAAGTTTGGGACGTAGTAGTCGGTACTAAGAGTTCCGTAGATGATTTAGTACCCAAGTCAGATGAACTACTTACACAGACGCAGCGCCAGGAGCGTGCTATTGGACAAATCCACAACGACCTTCGTTTAAAAACAAACCTCATCATAGAAAACTTGGACATGGTAGAAAAACGACTGAAGAAACAGGAGGATGACGTCGCAACACTGGCACAGCGACCGGTACCTGCTGAGCTTCTGCTGGACCCAACTATCGACCGTTTGGTAGAGTACGCCCCTAACCGGTACAGGGTTGACGAACCCTACACCGACCCAACTACAAGCACCGTAGCAGCTACCACGATGCCGCCCTCGTCCACACTAAACAACAGGTGATATCTTTCTATTTCCAAATAAGCCTATGCGATTGTGCGATTGTTTTTGTCAATGCGATATATTTTGCGAGCTCTAGCGATTGTGATGCGTTACTGTTACATCCTACACTGGCGATGTGTATTTAGCGGTCGAGGTGTAGGGGTGTACGGTGACTAATGTTCGTGTCGCCTGCAGCCCGAGTACGAGCACGAGCACCTCCAGCACTTCGAGCACATGGAGCTCGACTGCCGGCGCCGGCGCTGGTGCCACGGTGACAGTGACACCGGCCAGCACGGCCAGCACGGGCAGCACCAGCCCGCGGCCCGCCAGCCGCAAGGGCGGGATCATCTTCCCCAGCGTCAAGAACAAACCCATCATCGGCAATAATACTTTCGCTTCGGAAATCGTCGCCAACTATAAAGACGTGAAAGTGAGTCAAAGTTACATAAAGAATATTATTACTCATTATAACACAACATACCTATCGTTGTTGCTGAACAAATCTTTAGGTGCAATTAATAAAATGTGCTAACCGTGCGAATGATATAACTCTATAGATGTAGGGATGTACTATGTGGAGTGTAAGCATATTTCGTAGTTTCTTAGCTATTAATCAGCGATGATATCGACTTTGATATAAACATTTTAAACGGTTTTCTTTGGCTATCGTGATTAATGGAGATACAGCATAATCTAGTAGCTTTTGCGTCTCTACATGAGATTATACAGAAGTTAAATGTGTTTCTGTGACACGCGTAGTTGTCGCAGCAATATGAATCATAGCGACAGACAAAAAGTTGATTACAAGTAGCTGGAGCAACATGTCTTAGTTAAATGGATTCTTGTCGAGATGTAGGTTGAGTGAAGTAAGGCGATTGCATCGGCTATGAGAGGGAATTGGTACAAATCAGACAGGCTAGGCGGTGGCTCGGGTATGTTACTGTTAGTATTTAAGCTCTGTTGTCGGAATTTTAATCAGCGCCCGTCGGTCTGGTTGTGCGCAACTCGTAGACAGTCTCCGATACACTACCATTTACGTCTCCCGGTGAAGCAATAAGGAACACAAAATACTGTGCAATACACGCTCTGGTATGCAGTTACCGGAACATACATTCTGACTAAATGCGTATAAAGTTAATAGGTATTACTCGTATAATTTAACTAGTATTTATAACATCGGACTACTGTAGGGACAATCTGCAACTTTTAGGTTTATGTATCTTTAGGAAAAGGAATAAACATTAAGGTATCTTAGGAAAATTAATTATTTTACCTCAAATCATGGACACGAACAAGTTTTAATGTAAAGAGTAGAAATCCTAACTAACTAAAAATCTGCAATTTAGGTTTCAATTCCATACCCTACATTTCAATATGGCCTACCAAAAAGTATGCAAAAATTACGCAAAACCAAAACATTAAAGATGTTTAAAAATTGTTGGCTCATAAGTAAACTTCGCAAGAACGAAGCTTTGCAACTGGTGCGTCGCTGTCGTCGAAAAAGCGCCAAGTTGAGACTCGCGACATTTCCGTGCAAGGAAAGTTACGTGGCTCTCATTACGTAAATCTGGTTCGGCATCGCACTCATATACACTGGGGCTATGCTTTCCGCGGCTTTGTGAGCGCCCGCGCAAAAACCTGCCGTTCTCACCATGCGACAATTACCAATGATTACAAGTGTTTATTGTTCTTAACGTACGAGAAATGACGGTTATGTGGAGCTGGGTGATGCAACGTTTTATAACATGTTTACCTATCGCGCACGACTTGCACCTGTGCAAAAAATGTCGCTCCAAATACTTACGTTATGTTACGAACGCAATCGAATACTTACATTGTGCTTACTGTTTGCTTGCAACAATTCCGAAATACTTGGCATTGCTCACAGTACCTAGTAGAACTACGTATATTGTATAAGGCGTGTTTTATTGTTATACTTCTTAGATTTGATCACATGAGCGTGCGATATTTGAAGGATAAATTAAATTGGCCGGAATAGGTGTGTACCTCTAGAGATATCTATTAAAAAAAAATCGATAAAATATAAACGTATAGGTACTACTGCACCGAAGTAATCAATAAGTATTCGATACCTAAATAGAATCTACATGAAACAGCATTTATTTCAACTCTAGCAGGTTGTCGTTATTTCACAACTTACCTTAGTTAAGGTAAGCCATTAATTTTGCGAATTAACTTCCTGTACAGGTTTCTGGACACCTACATAAAGTCTGTTGAAATTTCAATACATTTACAAGCAGACATTACAGTTGGACAGGTGACTGAATAAATATTATTTTAGTACCCCGACACCTAAATTAAGTTTATGGATAAAGTAGAGCACCTTAACTTCACTAATCCTCATTAATAGTATGCTAAACTACATAGACATAAACTGCCAATTACAGGCGACAAAGTATCCAGTTAGACCTAAGTTCTTATTAAGAGCAAACCTATGTAAATTCTGAATTCATCAGTAATTTGGTACATATAATATATTAAACCTAATCCTACCCCTCCTTATCCCTCGAAAGGCCTTGAGTTCTTTCAAGTAAAATATTTTATGAAATACAGAAGAGCCATTAACATAACAACGTTTATAACAAGAACTTGTTCAACAGTTTTTCAAGTGTCAAACATTTAGGCCCATTATACAATCAAACACAACTCTATTGAATAGAAGAGATCATTAAGATAGAAAAGAACATCTTGTTAACAAATTACTTGAAGTCCTACTTACTGCGGTATTGTAACAATGACATCTGATAATGTAGCCGGCACACCGACAGATCGTGACCGCCTTGTCAGTCGAAATGATGAAAACAAACGTCTACTTTCATATTCCCCGTGGGCTGCAGCTGTACAACCGAAGACTGTATTAGGTACGCTTATGCAAATCAAAATAATATCTATAAATCACCGACTACACCATAGTGAGGCATAGATAGTGCATTATGATTTGTAACCGCAAGCTTTACCGTGAAACAGGAAATCATTTCCCTATAATACGCCGCTTAAGACGTCACTCAGAGTAAATCAAACTCAAACCAAACTTCATGAAAGTTCCGGGATACGATACATAAATGCCTCCTAAAGATTGCATTTAAACCACGTTGAAATATTTACTCAAATTTCTTATCACATTAACAGGCAATTGAAGATTTGAAGAATTGAATTGACTACTTTAGGTAGGTATCATTGTTTCAAAGTATAATCGTAAAGAGCATAAAATTTGAACGCGCATCAGCAATAGCCAACAATACCTATATTAATTTTCAGGAAGTCACGTTCAATAAATTCACCTTTGAGCTTTGACTTTTGTCACTGATTGAAGTTCCCGCATTTCTGATACAAAGTAGGCTTAGGTATCTTGATTATATGTATACCTACCTTACTTTATAAGTAATTCTTGTGTATTGTGGCCTTTGTGATTTTACTTATCATCTTAATTATGGTCAGGATGTTGCCAAACGGTTGGCTAACAAACAAGTGTTTGCAACGAAAGTGACAGATTATGACAAAAGCATTTGGACGGCTATTGTAAATGTACGCCGTTAATTAATTGGACTGTCACGCTGTCACATTACACGTCCAACTAGTAACTACTTGCTAGTGATAAATTAATGACTTAGGTCCGCGTCTACCACTAACGAACCAACACATTAAGATATATGAAATAGAATTTGAAGAATGACTGTCTGTCTCTGAAACTGCTATCAGATTCGTTTTGTCTTTTGCCGATTTCTATCTTGTTTCAAATAAGTTTTTTGACTACACGTGTACCTACTGCATAATAATATGTCAACCGTCATGTTTGTTTAATAACCAACCTCCAATGTCCTCACCATCATGATTTTATTTTCTTTATTTGATTTTCCCACCAGTTAATGAGAATTCCAATGAGTTCTTAGATGCAGTTTCAATGTAGCATATTTGCATCAGCCTATATTTTCATAAATCCACTATAAGATAAGGTTAAAGAGTTTAAATATGAAACGATTGCTAAATAAAGTTTAGAGTGTAAGTAATTATTGTGTCGTTAAGTGATTTGGTCGATACTCAGAAGGCAGTTAGACAACAAAATCATACGGTGCAGTGTAGCAATACTGACTGCTGTATTGTATACAGATATTAATGAACCGTCAGTTCAACAACAACTGTAAATGCCAACGTAATTGACATTCCAGAAACTGTGAATGAGTTCCAAAGATTTACAAAAATGGTTGTAGGTATTATGTATTCCATAATGCTAATGAAAGTGTTATATAGGTGCCTAACTACCTGACTATTAAATATCTTGGCAATGCAAAATGTTTGGCCAATTTATAGTTACTTTTTTATTTTATAGATATTTTCCTATAGAGAAGTTAAGAGATTGGTACCTGCCTGTTTAGAAACTTTGGAACTTGAATAATTTTGTCTCGATATGTAGGTAGGTACCTACGTAAATAATTATGTTGACATGACAAGTAAGTTGGTCGGTACTTCTAAACACGCACGCCGCTTTGCTACCATAAACGGAAAATTACAATAACGACAAACAATCGAAGAAAACGATGCTTAGACAAATGGCAATTATTTTGAGAAAGTTTCAAACAGCCCAGGCATGTAGGTACATACCGTAATCAATCTCCCTGTAAAACCAAAAGGGAAAGAAAGTTATTAATATTACGTAACGATATACATAACGTAGTATTAAAATTGATGGCATTGTTTGAGCAGTACTAAAGGTTTTGTACACGCCTCGTGCCATTCAAACGGTTATTCTTTATTATGCACATTGAATGTGAGTTATCATTCTGAAGGCATCGCGAATATAATATACGCCTATGCGAATAGAATGTTATAAGGCGTTGCACATTTACATTTATTTAAAGCGAGCACAGGGCGCACTGCAGATTATTTCCGCAACTTCAAGATAGCTAAAATTAATGCAGTGATCTTACCTAGTAAATGCTGCGCTTACACGCTATGTGCCAATGTGTTATTGAGTTAGGGCGTATCTATAATGACGTTTGATGTGTTTCCAGGGCTACTCGTGCGTGGATCTGATGAACGGCGGCATGCGTGAGTCTGGAGTCTACTACCTGCAGATTAGAGGAACTACTTACTGGTTCCTGAAGGTCTTCTGCGAGCAGAACGTTGCTGATGGAGGCTGGACTGTGAGTTGCACACTGTTACCCAAGTACACCTTTCTCTCGTGAAGTGCCACTTGGTGCCTCAACAAATATGCCCTTGTTGAGAGGCACTTCTAGTGGCGCTTTCGAAACGTTCGTATGTCTATGTGATCATGTGGTTTTCGAAATCCGACACGATAACGGATAAACTTTCCTAATAAATATTACCTTGACTTCTCATCCTACCTCTCTTGGGATTATTACTTACTAAATTAATATTTTAATGGTAGGTGATTTTAGGTACCCTAAATAACCACTTGCCTGGTGCAGACTAACGTACTAATAGCCTAGGTAGATAGAGAGTCTTACTCTAAATAAAGGCTTAAGTTTAATAGATCACACAGTTTGTTTCTCGTCTAAAGACATCTTCCGAATTAATTCTTTGTGGGAATCATGACAGCTGTCCATGACCGTGGGACGCACCGGACTTCATTGTTTCGGTGTTTTCATGATTGTGTCTACTGTAGATTCTGGCCTACAGGAGTTGCAGTAATTTTGTGAGGTTGTTGGGCTCTTGTCATACAAGAGGGTACCAACTCTAACTAGTATCCTCCAGTTAGGTCACTTAAACCGAATCTTGTCGGTGGAGGACGAAACGTTAACGAAAACGTACTCTATCTTATATAGTATTACAGTCGTGTTTTATTTGCCCAAGGCTGCATCGAATGAACGTTTATGATTTGATCGTTGACAATCAGTTATTCACATACCTATTATGTGAATATACGTAGATTATTTATACTTCCTCAACTTTTTAAACAATAGAAACTGCAATCAAAATAAAACAGTGCCTAATTAAAAAATGAATTGCTCATAGAAGAAACATTTTATTTATTTTTAAATACACAGAGAATTACAAAGAAGCAGCGGATAATTTAACAATTTCTTTATCTCGGTGAAGCGCTTAATTTACTTACTTATATGTATAACATTTAAAAAATTAAAAGTACAAATATAGATACTTGCATATTATTATGTTTTAAAATATACATACAACTTAAAAACTAAAGTAACTAAACATTGTGGGCATAATATTAAAAGCGATTTTTTGGATTATCAAAATCTTAAATATGTTTAAGTATAAAGAATCTAGTGTACTTTATACTGTTAATTACATATGTAAATATGAAGTGCAACTACTTACTTATCTATGTATAAACTGAATAAGCAATCTATTTTAATGAAATCTCTTTTAATCCTGTCTTATCACTAACCGATTCGTTGACATTTAAAGATATTTTGTAAATGTGCCACACTATGATAGTACAATTTTCCTGATTTTACCTATAAACATACATTTTCACATAATTACACCATATCATACCCACACCCACCCCACATTAATCACACAAATGCGGGAGTCGAGCCAGATTCCCACAGTAGCCGGTTGCCCAGACACTGCGTCAATCGTGCAGTCAACTTCCATTACCCTCAAATACCCAACCTCAAAATAGACACATCATACATAATTATGGCATAATATCACATAACATTAACTACAACAAGTTTTTAAGGGATGATGATTAAATATTTTTATCGTCGGCGTAGTCTTGTCAATTTTTTTCAGAGTCAAACTTTCGTCACATGATCACATCTCAGTATTTCATACTGAAGCATGGTGAAGACGTAGATAGATGTCTTCATAAAATGTATATAAATAAAAATCATGAAAAAATGTTAGACATGGGTACAGGTACCTATGTCTAATATTTTTTCGTTATCTGACCGACACGACGTGAGACGTGAGACGGGTGTACCCCTAACGATCCCTATTTCTTGTGCCAAAGACATTCCTTATTTTTATACTATACATTATACATCACATTTCCACAATAAAGGTACATAATACATAATCGAAATGAACCAATAACGATCACATTCGTACCAAGCAAATAAATATGAATTACAACATCCAAATTATTAGATTAAATTCTTCATTAAATAGAGTTATAGCTACATACATAGTAGATAAAATAAACAGTATTAAATACCATTATTATGAAATTAAGAGCAGACAAATATGAACTTAGGTAGTTATTAATATTTTTTTATCATCTAGACATTAAGTAATTCTAAGATACTATTACTAAAATTATCCTGTCTGTTCCCAGAATCATGACAGCTGTGAATTCATAATGAAGTATTAACTTGTTTTTATAATAACTATCGTGAGACATACTAAATCAAGTAAAAACGCGGGTTACTCACGTGAATATACTGAGAAAAGCTCTACTAGCGGTCGCCGCGACCGCGCACGATGCTCATGAGGAAGAACCCCTCTGTGGTTCGAAACTAGTAGAGCTTTTCTCAGTATATTCACGTGAGTAACCCGCGTTTTTACTTGATTAAGTATTAACTTCATGATTTAAATTTAGAAGGAAAATATTATGTTAATATGCTATGTATTTATGAGTTCATATATAATATGTAATATGTATGTAATATTTTAATTTGAATGCAATACAATGCAGGTACTTATCACTACATAGAGTAAAACAAAGTCGCTTCCCGCCGTCTGTATGCCTGTATGCTACGATCTTGAAAAATACGCAACAGATTTTGAAGGGATGTTTTTAATAGATAGTTATAGTTTATATGCGTAGTATAATATGCGAGCGACGCGCGAGAGGAAAGCTAATATCTAATAATCTAGCTATAATATACATAAATAAATAAGAACCTTTTAATAAACTTTAGACTCTAGAATCTATCTTTAGAATCTAGACATTACCTCTAAGGCTCTATTTCTAAAACTCTCCTGTCTGTCTGTTCCTAGTGGATTCATAATTATGGAGTACCTATTAACTACTTACACATTAAAATGTAGGATATACGTAAATATACTAAGTATTTATGTTTTAATATGCATACAATATAATGTACCTAATAGTATAATATAAATTCGCTTTCCGCCTTGCGTGCCTCATCTTGAAAATTACGCAACAGATTTTTTAATAGATACTCTAGAGTGATTCAAGACGATGGTTTATATGTAAAACGCATGCGAAACCGTGGGCGGAAAGGTAGTATCTAATAATTTAGCTATGTATACATAAAATGGACCTATTAATAATTTTTAGTACCTATCTAGACCTTAATTCTAAGACACTCGACTACTTCTAAAATTTTCCTGTCTGTCTGTTCTCAGTGATCCATATGAAGTAATAACTTCATGAAATATCTAGAAGGGTATAATATATGTAAATATAGGTACTAACTAATTATAACATGTTATACTATGTCCTTATCAAGAAAATTTTAATTAGAATGTAATATCATAAAGAACCTACCTCTATCATTTATGTCTAATAGTCTAGATGTGTGTGTAAGGTTTAGTTACATGAGCTTTATTTTTTATAGAGAAACAAGTTGACAACATGTGCTAACTAGCTGTGAACTACGTAGGTATTCCTACGTAGGTATTATTTATGAAGAATATATGACCCAAATACTATAACAATAGACACCTTATAGCAAAAGATGTAATATATATCTACTATTTATGTACTTTTAACTATGAAAATATCTCTATGATTACCTGTGGATATAGATTTTTTTTTGTCAATTGCAATCAGCAATGTGCAAAAGTGTCAATTGTATAGGTTATAGAATAATCTATGATTGAATTATAACTAAAAAAGTTGATTGAAAGCTTTGAATTTCTTACAAAATACTATTTTCTGTTCATCAGGTGATACACCGCCGTGATGACTACGGGGTTCCTGCAGAGAACTTCAACCGAGATTGGAACGATTATAAAAACGGGTTCGGTGACCCCAGCAAGGAATTCTGGCTGGGTAACGAAAACATCTACATGTTGACCAACAACGATGACTACATGCTTAGAGTGGAACTTGAAGATTTCGACGGGAATAAGAGGTAAGATCGAAGTCGGCTGACAGCTCATCACAAACTACCCTACACTGTCAAAATCTTCAACAGATTCTCGACCTTATTACAAACCAATATTGTTGAAAATGTAATAAAATTATAGTTTGATTGTATAGTATATCTGCTGTAATATCGAATGTTCCAACGCTTAATAACATGTCACATTGTAGGTGTTGCGTAGGTGAACATACTTAGTTTTATCACCTGCCTTGTCATCACTATACACTTGATTGTTATATACATAGTACGACATTAACCTAATAAGAAATAATGCTTCAAATTGCTGATTGCGAGACTAGATCAATAACGATCTGGTTTTTTGTATACCACTTCACACCCTAACATAGCTATGTAGAACGTTCTGGAGCCAAAATTAATAAAAGCTGACTACTGCCATGGACTTTAGCTAGAATATTATTAGCAGCCATTACACTTAGAAGACCACCGTCCACCAGATATTTATAATAACAATGTATCACTAATACAGGTACGCACAGTATTCGCACTTCAAGATTTACTCTGAAGCGGAATACTATAAGCTGGAGATAGATGGTTACGAGGGCAACGCTGGTGACTCTCTCAACGACCCCTGGTACGGCTCCAACAACAGCCCCTTCTCTACTTACAACAGGTTTGTACCTAACTTTTATACCTATATACAAATAGATCGCCTGATGGCAAGCAATCGGCGCCGTCCATCGCAACACCAGAAGTGCTACAAGATCTCATTTACAGAGCGAAACGCAACTCAAGCGTTGTTCCACGCCGGTTTTAGTGAGGCGTGTCTAGACCTCATAGAATCATATTGCAGCTTTACTCCGCAAGCCAGTCATCATTACGAATAAATCAATTAAGACATTAGACACCAAAATCTTGTGCTAAAATAAATATATAAGTATACAGTTAGTAGATGTTAGGACATGTTAAGACATAAAAAATACAATATTAAAATACATATTGTGTTATTGAAATTAGAAAATAAATATAATAATAAGTTTTATAGGTGTTTTACAATAGAATAATCTATATCAATATAACCACCAAACATCAATAGTCTTTTCCACACACAAAGTTATAGAATACCTACAAATAATTATAGTTCACATTTACACAGGATACATATTGATAAAATGTATGAACATACGGAAGAATTGTTATAATAATTAGTGTTATGATACAGAATAAGTATTATTATTATAATTAGTATTATGTTCAAACTCATCCTATACTGTTTTTTTTACCTTTTGCTACAATAAGAAAAATCCAATGCTTATATAAAACCTAGCTGATTTTATGTAACCTTTTATATACAAGCCATAATCTATTGAAGAGAAAGAGTTCTGATTTCTATCCATACATTATACTTGATACATAAAAGAAGGAAGCAGAAGGGTCTTCACTAATTTCTTTAAGTTTATTACCTTTAACAAAATATAATTCTATATGTTCTGTTATTAACAGGGATAATGACAGATCGTCGCTGAATTGCGCGTCCATGCTCAAGGGAGGATGGTGGTGGAAGTCCTGCGGCCGAGGTCTCAACGGCCTTTACTTGCACGACCCACAGGACCTCACTGCCAGACAAGGTGACATACAAATACATACATACTTTTTTACGAAGTCATACATAATACGAGTATAATGAATCCTATACTCCTTTCCCTATAAATTTTACCACTGCTCCAAATTACGCAGTGGAGTTGAAAATAACTAAGTTTATTGTTGAGTGCATGGTTGTGTAACTATGCGCCTATATAACTTTATTTTATGTGCTCCAGGCATCGTCTGGTTCCGCTGGCGAGGCTGGGACTACACACTGAAGCGTGCATCCATGATGATAAAACCCAAAGGCTTGCTGCCCAACACGTGAAGCGCGTCCCAGTGACAACGCAACGCTACAAAACTTATCCAGCCTCTGTTCACTCATTACCTGGATTCGACATACAAACTATAACGATAACTCCTAAAGCTTGGCCCAGGAATTACGTTTTAGTCGAAATTGAACTGAAGCAACTAATCTGTGATACTGTCCAACGATTTAATCGACTCAAATCCAACGGTCGTATAAATATTTGTAATTAGTCAGGTCGACAGGATTGCTTTCCGAATCCATGTAATGACATCGAACATAGTAGGCAGCTAAGCTCAATATTGTACCTATCTCTGTAAATAACTACTCGTAAATCATCATCATGCCAATGTCACCGCATCTTCGCCATTGTACCAGTAAATGTACCCCGATGTAAATAACAGATGCTAGCCTATGTTTGAAGTGCCACATCACACCCCAAATTCATTAATTTATTACTCATGTAAACTTGATACATAAAAATCTTTCGTTAATTAGGTTTATAATGTAGATGTAAGTAAATTTTGTAATAAGGTGTAAATAATTACTATTATACAGCGGTCTATAAGAAGCAAACAAAATGACAACAATACTTATGTGTAACATAAAAATATTACAGCTCGGAGTTAACGAGAATAAATTGAATTTCACATTAAATAAATATAAAATAAATGCACTTTTGAAATATGATATAACATTATTATAGTATGCTTTAATATATGATTTTAATAACTATTTTATAAATGTATACTAGCACATTGCTGTCATTAACCAGTAGCACATACTATGTACCTGATATCTGCCTATGTAGCAACAAGTTGGAGTAATCCCAACACAATACTATTTATATTATGTATTTATAAAGACAAATTACATGAATGTTAGGATACTATCAACATCAAATAATTTGCACAACTATGTAAATATATTATACTCTACGACTCTGTAGCTTGTTACTAACAAATGCCCACTACATAGAATAAGATACTATCAAGCAATGCTCAGTGACAATCCTACCTACTTATCGCCTACGATTCAGTATTGTTCTTGAGACATTGCTTGGCGTGAACTGTGCTCAGTTATAAGTTACACACACGAATACTGTTAGTAAATAAATGTACGTATTTTTAATTCTGCAGTTTTATTATAACCAAATACATCAATACCCCAGACTTATAACTTGTACCTTTATAAATTTATAGATACATTACAATTTTGTTAAGCTTTTTTATATACAAAGCACGCAAGTTTTAGCCGAATACACACATAGCGACACTATATTATTACTAGGTAATGTTTTTAATCGACGTGTTTTTAATATACTATATCACTTATTTTCGAAGCACTTTAAACTTACACTGCCTACTGGCAAGTCTTTAGTCTGTATCAAAATCAGGTTCGGGTGGCTTTACATCCAACAGAGGATCGATTTCTTGCGCAATGTCCGTGTCAAGTTCCATGTCTTCAGCCTCAATATTGTCAGATATTAAACCGGTTTGTGATGTCGAATCACCTAAAAAGTCTTTGCTATCATCAGAGTCCAAAACATGATTATTGCGAGTCACCGCGTGCGCGAAAATAGATCGATCTAACACTTCATGGGATTCCACCATGGCTTGTTCTAAAATTTGCTGTGGTTCTATATTAAATAATAAATCTTGGGGATCTCTATATATGGCATCTAAATCTGCAAGGGAATAATGTTCGGCGGCGGGCAACACGCGCGAGGGGCTGGACTGCGAGTCACGCCGCGAACTTCGCGCGCGTTCGACCCGCTGTCCAGCCCCATGCAAATGTTATACTTTTTGTTTCTTCGGGCCTTTTTTATTAGCACGCTCCTTGGCCTTCTCGAGCAGTGGCAGCAGCTTCTTCTCTTCTGCTAATATTCTAAGAAGCGTGATGATAAATGGCAAGTAATTATGCCTCCGACGAGCCATTTCCTGTTTATACTTCATCATTTTCACGTCTTCATACTCAATCAACATTCTGAGTCTTGGAATTTCATTTTCCATCTCATCTGTTTCCATTCCCATCATCTGAGATTCAGCCATTAGGTCTTGAAGCTGTCTCTCGTAGATCATCTTCCTGTCCGACACAAGAGCCATGAGATTGAAGTGAATCTCGCCCTCAGTGTACCTGAAACACGAATTGATGGAGTTTAGAAAATAATTACATCAATTTTCTGTAGAGTGTAATTCTGCCAGGATCCGAGTTATTCAGAAATTAAATTTTATTTAATATTCAAATAACATGAGTAAAAATCACAACCTTGCTTGACAGATAAAAGGAGAAGATATAATATGTTTAGTTTGTATACATACACATTAATCCTGCGTACAATGATTGGCCGGACAACATCAAGCCAGTCCTGCTCCGGAGCAATGGGGCCATGGTCAATGGGACCTTCGCGAAGGCCATCTAACTCGTAGAGACGGCCGTCTATTGGCATGTAGCCAACAAAGTGATACGCTTCGTCATCCTGAAACAAAGCCGTTTTGAATTCGGGTAGTAAATAATTCCTGCTTATCGTTCTACAAATAACTATATATTTTTACTGATGGGAAGCAATTGAAAAGAATAACCGTGTAGATTCTTCTTCTCAATAATAATCTCCTCTTAGAAACAAGCAAGTAGCTTTACCAAAAGACATATTCTTATTTTAATGTTTCACAAACCGGCGTTTATATGAAGTCTAATTGACAAACATAATTATGATCACTTTGATGATACCTTTGAAGCTGTTTTTGGGTCGAACTCGAAGATAGTCTGTTGTGCCATAGAGTTGTGAGCACTGCGGATAGTCTGAGAGTTGCTAAGTGTCAGGCCACGCATCTTGGCATCAAAAGACATACTGAATTCCTTCAAGCTGCTCAGTTCTGGACCCAAGTCGACATCAGGATGATCGCAGTTCAAGAGCAGACTAATCACAGCTTGTGTAGCGCAGGCATTATTTATAACCTAGAAACAAAATACAACAGTTAAGATCATATTACACTTAACCGTAAAATGTATTAAACCAAATTGATACTGTAATACAAGCATAGTGCAATGGAAATGTGATTATAGCGGAGTCGATCGTAGCGAGATGTTTTATAGCCTATAGCCTTCCTCGATAAATGGAAGATCTAACACAAGAATATTTTTCAAATAGGACCAGTATTTTCTTGGATTAACGCGTTCAAATAAACAAATTCTTCAGTTTTATATAATAGTATATGAGATAGATTAATAAGCTAGATGTGTTCTCCTCACCGTAGTGGTGACACACGCCTCTCATAAATTTTAAGGCATGCTTATATATTGCTGACATTTAACATCATTTTTGTTTTTATCTCTTTATTTCAGGGGTGCTTAACTAAAACGGTAATAAGAAAGACAGAGACAAACCTGTTTGGCAAAGTAAATCTTGTCGAGACGACTGTCAGTAACGATTGGACCAGCTGGTTCTTCATGTTGCAGATATTTGAACAAGAATATGAGTCCATGCACAGGCCTACAACATTACAATCATAAATTCAAAACATAATCTCTCTATATACACAGATCAATAACATCTGTTTGGACAAATACTATTTATTTATTTAAGAATTAGGTACTCAAAATTAATGTATGAGATATGAAATTTCTAATATTTTCTTTATCTTTCAAACCTACCTCAGTGTTTCGAAGATGCCATCTTCAATTGTCCAAAGTTCCTCAACTTGAACACCACTGGCACCTAATGAGCAGAACAAAAAAGTATTACAGTAAATATGTTAAAAATTAAATTGTTTTTCATTAAATAGGATACGATATAGCCCATTAACCACATGAATGTTTAAGAAAATTGGGTTAAAAGGAGCATTTCTTTTTTGCTGAGTACCAAAAATAAAACCAGAGATACTGAAAATCTCATTTGATTTGAAAGATCAAACAAATTGTAATAAACTAGCGGACCTCATGAACTGAATTTCAACTCCTTAGATTAGTCAGAAATAAAATATTTTTGACATAAGAACCTACTAGCACTAACAAATACAACAAAAAAAAACGGTTATGAAAATCAGCTGCTCTCGATATTAACGCTTAGCAACACATTTAGCTATTCATATTATAGATTATAAGAATGGTTACAGAGAGAACGCATATACTTGGAATGCATCTGTAAGGTAACATAATATCTGATTTATTTTTTGGCAATAAGCTAACACCTTATGTCCGTGAAATGAAAGGAAATGTTATTATTTCTGCACATAGGTTACAAAAGTAACACTTTAAAGTTTAAATTGAGGGCCGCCATTGCCTAACTTACTACTCTGAAAAAAAAACGCCGAATGTCCAATCAAACAATCCAGACAGATTATATACCTAATATGCAAGTTGATTCTGTAGTGGTCTTTTAAGGCAATATCCATAACAGTTTGAGAGGACCTGTTCTGATGGCAGCACGCATGTGTCAGTTTCCAATCAGTTCAAGTAACAGATGTTGCTGGATGATCCGACAAACAATAACAACCAAAAAAACATTTAGGTAGACCGCACACATGCTCAAACTGTGAGAATATAATTAAGTAAACGTGAAATAACTAAATAGGCAAAGTGTCACACGGTCATTTCACTTACAATTGTTAAAAATAATTTAAACATGTACCAACATATGAAAAAGAATATAATGAAAAATAATCATAACATCACGCCTTTTTATCCCCGAATCGTAGGCAGAGGTGCACATTTCGGCACTTAGTGCCACTGTACAATGTAACACCCACTTTTCACTGTTTATGTTACGAGTTCCATGTAACAAGGGGTGAGGCTATTGCCACATACCGGGCACATTTCCGGACTCCGTGCTACTACTGAGATTTTTAAAAACCCAGTGATACTTTGTCCGACCCGGGAATCGAACCCGAGACCCTTTGCCCGGCAGTCGCACTTTCGACCACTCGGCCAACGAGGCAATCAATATAATGAAAAATAATGTCGAATAATATTAATGTCAAAGTATACAGATATCAAATTGTATAATAATGCAACTATATATGTTACAAACATGTCAACATGACTTGTGTGGATGTTACAGCAGCATGTTCCCAAGCCTGACTATCATCTAGGTAGTCTTTTATGTTATAAAAAGCTTTATCATTTATCTTTAATGACAATTTCAAATTTATTTATGCCCAAATTTAGAATATGTCTTTAGAAAATGTCTGAGAATACTATTGCAAAAGTGCATACACTGGCATCTACACAAACCGCTTTTTTTCTTAAGTCTAAAAGTAGGAACAACATATTTACCTTTACCTCTCGTGTTGATATTATGTATATGACTATACCTTTTAAATAAACTTTTATACTACATTTTCATAAATGTATTGAGAGACGACAGTCATTATATTAATTTCTTAAGTAGTTCCCTGAGACAGTGCCTCGGACTAAGATTATTAATTGTTTCAATAGCCCTCTTCTGCAAACCAAACAAACATTCAGTCTGTGTAACTGTACATTTTTAATTTTTTTATGGCATATGCTGCAGAACTAATGCTTTTCAACAAAACATTTACATGTGGAGCCCACTGGAGCTTAACGTCTAGGGTTATAACTAAAAACAGTAAAATCTAAAGGACACAACTCCTCACCATAAATTATCATGCTGGTTTTCACATGTCTAACATTTGGTGTAGTAAATTTAATGCATTTAGTTTTAAGGAACAAGATTATACCATTACAGTGATTAATTATTGATTGTTCGGGATAACTATTTGTCAGTAAAGAACCTAAGTTATTTCCAATCTCATCACTGAAGATTACAATATCATTATTATCATAGTTACATCAGCAGCTGTAGCCAATGCCATTTTGTGCTTGTCTACTTGTAGAATAGAAAAGTAAAATATGTATATGGAATTGACGTAAATTTTGACACTTGTCAGTGTCATCCTCATATATTTAGATTTCTACTCTCTTTGTAGACAAGCACTAAAGTGGCGTTTGGCTAAACGCACTGGTAGGAAACAATAAACTGGCACCATAATATAAGGTGGTGGTACATGCGCCATAGAACAAGCAAGCAGTACATTGTTAGAATCACATTTCTTACATTGGTTTTCCTGTGACCGCACTAACTCATTCATTGCCAACATGTATTCCCTCATTTGTTTTTCAGATGCACTATAGTTATTAGTTATGATGCGCAACTTTAATGTAAAATGATTGTAAGTTCCAGTTCTGATTGTAGCTTTTGGGTGTCAGTCTTATATTTCTTATTCTTTTGATTTAACTCGTTGAGTACCATCATTAAAGACACAATTAAACTGTCAAACACCAAGCGGTCACCGGTGACCGCAACCTATTGTTCTATAAATTGTATCTATAATAATGACGGTACTCGATGAGTTAAAGAACAATAGGTTGCGATCACCGTTGACCGCTTGGTGTTTGACAGTTTAATTTCAATGAATAAATATTAGTTTGGTTAGGAGGCCGGATTCATTCTTAAATTAATTTAATATTCATTTTCAAGATTTTTTTCTTTTATCTACCCTGTTAGTTTTAGTTATGAATGTATAAATTATCATGCATTTCTTCAATTTTTTGTTACTAAAACAGTGTTTTTATGGAATGACAGGAATTACAATCACAAGTTAGATCTATAGATTCAAGTGTACCTACATGTTTTGTTTGAGAAGCACGGGCTGACACCAACTCACTGAAGAGACTGTCATTCAGACTGGGCATGATATTAAGGTTTATTGTTTCAAAATGACTAATTTGACAATTAATTGGCCTCATGTAGCTGTTGTTCTAATAGAGCTTTGTCTTGTAGCATCTGTTTATACTCATTGCTACATTACTGAATCCATAACAAATTAGAACCTGTCCCGGGCCTCAATGACTTCAGTGTGGCAGTCAGAATGAAGATTTAGGTAGATAGGCAGGTCATATGATAGAATCATTCACTAAGTAATGTAGTGAGACATAAAACATGTACATATTTGAAGAATAGTTAACAATATAAACAAAAGATTAGCCGAACTTACCAAACTTTCTGATGAGCTGCGTAAAAACACCTGGATCACTTTCTATTAGACACCAATCACCAGCAGACTCCATGGTGAATTAACACCTGAGAAAATTAGCCACCATTAGCAACTAAAATTTAACATGCTAAACACCTGGGTCACTGGTGACCGACATTAGTAGAGTATTTGCCAGAAATAATTGGTAAATCAACAAACACAAAGTTATTACAAATACACAGAAACTTTGTCTTGTTTTAGAGTCTACCTCCCAAAATTAATTGCTAGTTAACTCGTCGAATACCGGTTTTGTAGACACAATTATAGAACAATAGGTTGCGGTCACCGGTGACCGCTTGGTGTTTGACAGTTTAAATGGGTAGCACATCAAGGTCAGTATGGAACAATGTTTTCTGCGATCTACAAATTGTTGTTCTGGGCCTGACTGGCTAATTATAAAACAGTCAATTGTAACATTTTAACTTCTGCTAAACTGCATGCCTTTTTGTCAGCAGATGTATGTATTATATCTTTGAAAATGCACCCAGGACATAGGAGAGTTAAGCCACATTTATTTGATATGTATGTAAAACATATAACTACTAATGGAATATTCCTATGGGCATACCTACTTTAAAGTAGAGCGCAGTCTAGTCATAAAACTGATTTAGGTATGTTGTTTCAACTTCGCTTTGTCTACACACGCAAACTAATCGCGCTTCGTGTATTTATAATCGTGATGACTTGTACTTTCATAAAAAAATTAAAATAAAATTGTTACTCTAATAATAACAAGACACTTATACCGCGACACATGGAAACAGAACGTAAGTTGTTTTGATGCAAAATAAGACGATGACTAGTAAATATGGTCAAAAGAGACTCGGAAAGATAGGGTTGGCTATTCAGTTTCGGTAAGATTTGAAAGCGGTATTTTGGGTTCATTTTAACTTAATCGTAATATAGAAGAATTTAATGACACTACATTGCTAATTAAAAAACTATAAAATCATTTAGAACGTGTTTTAGGCCTCGTTACCTGTGATGATAATGCCGGCAAACGATGTTCTCATATGTTGAAATAAAGACAAACAAAAAGTAAAAAAAAAACTAAAATGAAATATTGTTTGGCTATTACTTATTCTTTCTAAATCCTTTCACAATCAGTTAGCTTCTATTAACATTTTTATAGCATCACCTATAATCACAAAAGGAAATCAATAATCACTCACCAAAGATTCAATGTCAATCTGTACCTATTCTGTCACACATAGACCACTGACAATAAATAGACATAGACAATCGGACTTCATTTCCTTCGTTTATTGATACAAATTAAAAAATACATCTTAAAATAATAAAAATAATAAAACTAAAATATTTACACCTTAAAAAATAAACACTATTTTTAGTAAACTTTTTTGTGTCATTAGTTCAGTTAGTGTTTAAAACCCATTAACGAGGTATTTGTTTTGTCAGTGGTTTTGTTTTTGTCGTTTTGTCTCAGTGAAACTCAGTAACAGTCTATGGTCACAGTCTCACAGATGAAGGCCTGTCATGTCATTAGTTGTCAGAAATAGATCGTAAGCTCTCTCTTTAGTCTTTGGTCAGAGCAGAAATATAATTACATGCTCTGTGCAGAAATCTTCAATTTTTCGGAGGCGACGTTACGTTGGTGAACTGTGTAGCGTATACGAAGTCTACTGAATATTTGCAGTATGTAAGTATTTTTAGTTCACTTATAACAACACACTAGTTAAAATTAATTATAACACAACATTGCTATTTAAATTTATTGTAAATGATCGCTTTACGCGATTTCTATATTTTTATGTGAACTTCCAATCTTTGTTGTTGAGCTAAGCTATACCAGTGAAGTAATTTTTTTTAAGTCATCTAGATTACTCATGTGTGCATCAAAATAATCAATCTCAATATTTTCAAGTCATTAATTTTAAATTTGGAATTACTATAAGAATGCTACCACTAAAAGTCTCTGGACCAGGCTTATCTATTTCCCTAGTATACACGAGTTACTAAATATTGTGCCAAATATAAGAAATATAACTAATTACTAATTACCCTTATTGTGACTACTATGTGAGTAAAGTATAAATGTGAGTAAAAAAAGATGATAAATTTTTAACATCTACCTACATGTTAAAAATTTATCATCAATATTTATAAAAATTCACCATATTTGAAGCCCGAATTTTATAAGTGAATCCAGTTTGCAGTTAAGCATTAAGGCTTCATGCTTGCTTGCTTCATAAATTAAACATAAGTAAATCAACATAGCTTTTATATTATTTGAACCATGAAAATGATTGCTTTTGTGTTTTTACTTTCAATATAATGGTAGCAATGCGAAAGTTTGATCTTAATGTGTTAACTATATTATCAGTTAAAAGTAAAAACATACATACATTACCAACACACCTGTCTCTTATGGGGGTAGGCAGATATTGTGGAATGCAAAAAGTAAAAACATTTGAAAATTCTTGCTTGCTTGCTAAGTAAACAAAACTCATTTACCTACACATTCTACTTACTCATTATTTATTGGCCTAAATTTTGCATTTGAGGTCAAAGTATATATTAAAAAACCGAGTACCTTCTTTTTGTACATTAATTTTACTTCCTTTAACTTCTATCTAATAGACATCACCTTGAAAACCCTGTAGTGTACAGTTAACCCATTATACCGATATGATTGGAATGCAGTACTTCAACTAGGTCTATTGTGTGTTACAATGTACCCTATTCAAATGCGCTTAACCAATATAACAGGGAGTTAGACTAGGTACATGCAAATTGGTTTGTTTTCAGTCAATTCTGCTGACATCTCTGGCCTTGTTATCCTCTGACACCTATTAGAGTCTATGCGCCCCAAGGCTTGCAGTAGGATATCGTTCATCCTGAACAATCTTCATCAATTATTATTTCCTTTCCCATCTGCTATGTGCAATTTTGATATGTTTTTGACTTATCTCTAGTTTAAAAATACTAAAGTTTGTCATTAAGAGACTTGTCTTATCTCAGTTTGACTGCTCAGTTGTATTTTGTTTATCTCAAATTCTAAATAGATAAAACTCTATACTTCAATTCATTGTGAGTGATATGGGTATTTGAACATTTGGAACTCTATGTAACTATAGTCTATTTACAATAGCATTCGACGGAAGTAAAAAAGAACTTCGTCATGGTGGCCCAGAGGTTTAAGATGCCCTCTTCTCTATGCATGAGGATGCGGGTTCCAAACCTACCAACAGTTTGCCGTTATGTTTACCAATGTGACCTTTTTCCGAGTTATATGTACTTTCTAAGATTATCTAGACACCACTGACAAACGGTGAAGGAAAACTTCGTGACAAAATGTGGGCTTATAATTTCTAATTATAAGTTTGTAATCGCCAACCCGCATTTAGTAAGCATGGTGATTAATGCTTAAACTTCTCTGTGTGAGAAAAGGCTTTGCTTAGCAGTGGGCATTTATAGGCTGTTCGATGATGATGAAAAATAACTTATTTTGAGGGCACACTTTATAATAAAAGTTACTTATATTTAGTTTCGAGGTTTCAAGAGAAAATATGGACACAAAAAGGCCAAATACCTACTATTTGGCCTTTTTGTGTCCATATTTTCTCTAATATTCATGGCTTAATGGCATTGTTTGATCATTTACCTTTCATGTGTGTAAACGCGGATCCACGCGAGACGCAATGTATTTTCTGTTGTGTCATCTCATCATATCGGTGTATTCAAGCGGTTAAATCTAACTAAAATCCTAGTGTGGGGCAAATTTTTTTTTAACTCATTGATTACCGTCATTATAGACACAATTAAAGAACAATAGGTTGTAGCCACCGGTGACCGCTCGGTACTAAATACAAATACGTTTGAATTCATTTCAAAAATAAATGTTGTGTACGCCCATTTCTATAAACCTCTTTTTTCTAATGCAGAACTGACTGGATTAAAGTTAGATGTTGTTTTTATTATTATTACATTCGTAAACTTAATTTAAATTTGAATTTGATTATACTGAGAAAAGCTCTACTAGTTTCGAACCACAGAGGGGTCGGTTCTTCCTCCTGAGCAGCGTGCGCGTAAATTAATATATTATTTTAGAATTTATTTATTTAAAAATGAAAGTTAACGGCGAGAGCTAAAACACTTCATTCTAAGATAAGAAAAAATAACTTAAACTTATTATAATATTTGTTTAACCTGTTTGTTTATAATTCCTTTATTCAACACACATTACAGTCATTGTAAAACAGACACGGTCAGTTTATTAGAATCGTGGTACGAATATGACTAAGCAGACTAAAATTACAAATTGGATAATACAAGGATGATACCCGCAGTTTTTTCTTTACTATGTACCTAAGTAAAATTAACAACAACGCGTCTTCTGTAGGTACTAGACACTCTTTTACAGCAATAATTTACAACTTAATATTTAATTTATAATACTACTAGCGACCCACCACGGCTTCGCACGGCTGCAATAAGCATTTATTATACATATAAACCATGTATTAAAAAAACCGCATCAAACTCCGGCGTCTACTTTTAAAGATCTAAGCATACATAGGGACAGACAGACGGCGAATAGCGACTTTGTTTTATACTATGCAGTGATTCTAATAAAATAAAGCAACATTTATATCAACGGCTTTCGCAAGAAACTATCTTAAATATACCAACCACATACGAATATAATTTATTGCATCGGCGCAAGCGCGTCATATTGCTACTTGATTCGCCGAGTAGTTATGACACTGCATAGATACGGTAGACGTTATCGATTGTAAGTGTCGACAGACGGTAGTGTCGATAAACGTGATAACCCGATACTAGATATTAATTTATTTTTGTGATTTATATTTGTGTATTTATAAAACCAAAAATTATGATATTAATTACTTAGATACTATATTATTCAGATTGCGTATTTAAAAACTTATACGTTAATTTACGTGTACATAATATACATGTTGTTGTTCTAAAATGAATATGTCATTTATAAAAACGATTTTAAAATCAAGTTTAGTATGAAGTTGTTTTCGATGAATAGGTAGGTACATCTAATTATGATAATGAATTACAAATACAATAGGTGAAGCTAACAATGAAAATAGTAATGAATCGTAATGGTGTATGGATCTGTACACTCGGCAACGCAAATTACTGCGCACCACACAAATCGACACAACTATCGTTTATAGCATCATACGCATTATACAATGTATGTGTGGGTAATTTCATAGTAATGTGTATAAAAACATTCGCCTATTACGCACACAATGGTATTTAATATCAATTTAGTGTCTGTATACGTATTTTTATAATCTAAATATATAGTATACTAACTGTTGCCCGTGACTTTGTCCGCGTAGAATATGAATTTTAGTATATAACTTTTTTGTTTCAATTTTCCTAAGTAAAAGTATGGCGTGCCATTGGAGAGGCCTATGTCCAGCAGTGGACGAATACGGGCTGATGATGACGATGATGATGAAGTAAAAGTATGTTACTCCTTAGTACATCAGCTACCTGCCAATAAAAGTCTTGCAAAATCCGTTCAGCCATTCCAGATTAATATCTGGCTAATGCCAATATATGTGTCCCTTTGTCCAGCATACTCACCATGGAATCCTGATATTTCATGAATGTCAAAAAACTGTTCTGAAATAGTGCTAAATAGTGCCCAAAGGAAAAAAATAGTGCTCTTGTACTTGCGAAGTTATAGCCATAGTTCGATGAGTATGCTGGGCGAACGGAGAATCTGTATACGCTTCAAACATAATTCATACTTCAAAAAATAGTTCCCAAATAGTGCCAAACGGTGCCCAAAAAGAAAAAACAGTGCTCGAATAACTTCGGAGTTATAGGCTTCGTTCAGTGAGTATGCTGGGCGTAGGTTCTACGCCCAGCATACTCACCTCAGTGCGCGAATATCGAACGAGCTATAGGTACAATTTACGTCTCAAAAAATTGTGCTTGAAATAGTGCCCAATATCAGTCCAATTTTTGCTTGACTTTTGACTTAGAAAACCATTAAATTTTAATGTAAACTTCTACATACTAACGTAAAATGGGGTACAGTCGTCGACACATGTTTTTGGACAAAAATATTAAACTTTCTAATTGTAGACTTCATGTTATTGGAAATAATTATGGTATTTTCTCACATGTCAAAAACTTTCGATTAAATGCATTATTATATATTTTATAAATAATAATAAATGAATGAAACTTTAAGCGTAAATGAAGTCTATTACTTCATTGCATTGTGTGTTTGTCTGAATAAAAACAGTCATTTGCAGCCAATAAATAAAAGCGTCGCGGGCGCCGCGCGTCGCTTTGTGACACAAAATGGACCCTTATCACCTTCAAAATACAGATCAGTCTTGTCTAATAATCGTAAGATGTTAGGGCAGCGCCATCTAGTATTTAAACATAAACATATTCATTTGCGTCGCGGGCGCCGCGCGTCGTAAGCCCCATACCTATTGACCGTACGTGCATCCATTACTGCCACACTATATTGAACTTTATCACATGAGGAATACAGGTCAATTCCGTAAACGTTGTGGTACCGTCCTTGATCCGGAAAATGATTATTTTGAATAATTTTGTCAGTTGTAATGTAAGCATTAATAACAGCAACTTTATTTTTCATGCATGATTTACTTCATTTGATATCTTAATCCTTCAAGCGCCGTGATCTAGACAAAATATATAAAATCATTGTTCCTAGCTACCGGGGTCCCATGCGACGCGCGAAGGCTTAATCATATTATTATAAAGTATTATTAAAATAATGTGTAATTAATAATATTGCGATTCTAAAGTAAATACTCCCTTACATAGACAATTAATAATTTACACAAGACAAAAATTGTTAGAAAGAAAGTTAATAATATTGTATTCGACTGTACTCAATGTAATGTATGTAGAAGTTTACAATCAAATTTAATGGTTTTCTAGGTCAAAAGTCAAGCAAAAATTGGACTGATATTGGGCACTATTTCAAGCACAATTTTTTGAGACGTAAATTGTACCTATAGCTCGTTCGATATTCGCGCACTGAGGTGAGTATGCTGGGCGTAGAACCTACGCCCAGCATACTCACTGAACGAAGCCTATAACTCCGAAGTTATTCGAGCACTGTTTTTTCTTTTTGGGCACCGTTTGGCACTATTTGGGAACTATTTTTTGAAGTATGAATTATGTTTGAAGCGTATACAGATTCTCCGGACGGAGGTGAGTATGCTGGGCGAAACCTTCGTCCAGCATACTCATCGAACTATGGCTATAACTTCGCAAGTACAAGAGCACTATTTTTTTCCTTTGGGCACTATTTAGCACTATTTCAGAACAGTTTTTTGACATTCATGAAATATCAGGATTCCATGGTGAGTATGCTGGACGAAGGGACACCAATATATGCCAGTAATACAAACAAAAACCAACAGACAAACATTGAAAAAAATCATATGCATGTATTATAATGCTGTTTTTATTTATCTGTATAGATGATAAGTACAAAGATTATAGTCGGAAAATATCATGCAGTAATGCGATGGTAGGAACATTTTTATGAAGTCTTAAACAAAACTTTTTAACATCTTTTTTTTTTATGGCATAAGCCGGTAAACGAGCAGACGGATCACCTGATGGTAAGCAATCGGCGTCGCCCATGGGCACCTGGAACACCAGAGGCGTTACAAGTGCGTCACCAGCTTTTTGGGGATTAGGAGTTTGAGGATCGTTGGGGATTCAGGGATTGGAGAGATTGGGGAAGGGGAAGGTAATTGGGCCTCCGGTAACCTCACTCACACGACGAAACACAACGCAAACGTTGCTTCACGTCGGTTTTCTGTGAGGCCGTGGTATCACTCCGGTCGAGCCGGCCCATTCGTGCTGAAGCATGGCTCTCCCGCTAACACCACCCACATCTATACTAATATTCTAAAGTTGAACGCGCTAATGTCCGAAACTACTGGTTCGAATTAAATAATTATTTTTGTGTCGGATAATCCATTTATCGAGGATGGCTATAAGCTATATAACATCACGCTGCGACCAACAGAAGCGAAGAAACCGTGATAAATGTGTAAAAAGGGGGGGAAAATTATTCATCTTTGAGGGCTTCCATTGCGTGCGCTGCGAATACAGTTCATACAACATACACAAAATAAATGTATGAAAAAATTATTCGTCTTAAAATGATCTACAAAAAAGTCTGCGACAGATATGTCTATCTTTTAAAATTAACTCACAAGAACCGCTTTTATGGTAACTAATTTGGACGAAATTATTAAAATTTACTAGCTGTTACCCGTACTTCGTTCGCGTGAAATTATTCATATTTCTTGTTAAGTAACAAGTAAATCAAATTAACCAAAGTCGTGGATTACTCACGTGAATATAGAGGTACTGAGAAAAGCTGTACTAGTTTCGAACCACAGAGGGTTCTTTCTTATGAGCAGCGTGCCCGGTCGCGGGTCCTCGCGCAGATCACAGCACACACAGACGCAACAAGTAAACCATGTAAAAATTTGCAATAAATTGATGAACAGTGTTATACAGTACAACGAGCACAACGTGATAGAAATAAAATTGATAGATTGTTTAAGCCAATGACGGACGTTTGGGGCGAGCTTATAACCGAATGGCAGTGTAGATGGGCATCTTCTATTAAGGGCCGCCACCTGTATCAGTTCTTCCCATCCGTGCATGAGCGGCTGGAGAGGATATAGTTGGAGGTGGATCACTGTGTTGCCCAATTTCTTACTGGCCACGGCAACTTTAGAAGCAAATTGTTCTTCAATTAAACTTATTGATTCACCATGGTGCCAATGTTCGACAGAGGAGTTGCGATACGAGCACTCGGCCCATCACATACTCTGGGAGTGTGATCTCTGGCAATATGAACGTATTAACCTATGTTAAATAATTTAATTGTTTCGTCAGGTGTAGTTTATTATACGGACCTTGTGGAATCTAGAATGAATTTCCGTGCGTTTGGGCGTTTTTGCCATACCTATTATTGGAAGCAAATATAACAGCTCACACATAGGACCCACTTAGTTTCTAGTCAAATTTCCGTGGTGCTTGGCGACTGGGCTTCACCCAGTTGTACAGTCCCTTCTTTGTGCCTTTAGGCTTAATTCATTCTGTCTCCTGCAGTAATTCACCGAGAGAAGTGAAAACCATAGTTTTTTCTTCTTCTCTTCTTATTATATCTTCTGATTCACTTCGTTGCGGGAACCAAGACAGTTACTCATGTCCCTGGGACGCGCCGGACTTCAGTGTTCCGGTGTTTTCATGGTTGTATCTACTGTAGATCCTGGCTTACAGGAGTTGCAGCGGTTTTGGGAGGTTGTGGCGGGCTTGTCCCAATAAAAAAAATTCCCCCCTCAAAAAAAGGCATAAATTGACAAAACTATCATTTACTGCATTACCAATAATATGAAAGTTTTAATTGCAATAAGTACATTAATTTCAAAATTTCACTGTCGCTATTTATTGAGTCTAAGTTTACGGCAATTGAATAGTTGTATTCAGAATAAATTAACAACACATAACAACATAACATCACTCCTTTTATCCCCGAAGGGGATTATGCCACTGTACAATGTAACACCCACTTTTCACTATTTATGTTATGATTCCCATGTAATAGGGGGTGAGCGTACTGCCATATACCGGGCACAATTCCAGACTCCGTGCTACTACTGGGATTTTTTTTCAAAAATCCAGTAATACCTTGCCTGACCCGGGAATCGAACCCGAGACCCCTTGCCCGGCAGTCGCACTTGCGACCACTCGGCCAACGAGGCAGGCAGCAGTTAATAAAATTTCTTATTTTCTATGTTTTCATTGCTGTACTCAGCACTGTACCTGTTAATGTTAAAAACTAAATTATAGCATGTAGGGATCTGAACTGCATTTAGATAAGCTATGTCATTAATCTGTTTTCTTAAAAAAACTTTATATCATAATACACTTCTCACCCATAGTCAGAACAACACTTTATTATAAATTACACAAATACTCTCCGTGCGTGACTCGAACCTGCTCCATGTTTCACAGCAGCTCAGTTACCCAGTTATTGCATCAACCATGCTCTCAACTAAATGTACAATCATCAACTAAAATATTTTAAATTCAGAGAAAAAATTATTTCAATGTAATTGTCTAGTGTAATCAAAATAAATGTGTATATTTGTCATTCTATAAATAAATTGTTAAATAGGGCAGTAAAAGTGGTACGTGTCAAAGTCTAAGGTGCAACTAATTTAACTTCGTCATGTATCAAAATGAGTTATGTGTAAAAATAAAATAAACCCGTGTTACTACTTTTCACTCTTATCATCCATATAAACAAATGAATCAACTTGTTTTATCGGAATATTTAATTGAACAGTGTCTTTATAATAGACTAGTAGCCCGTCCCGGCTTCGCACGGGGTAGACAATTATTTATTTTTGGAAATTTTTATTGTTGTACTGACATAACTACAATAGTTGAGCATATGCTACCGCGGAGTTTTTTGTAGACATTGTGATGTTCTTCAATATTGTTGTACATTATTTTGTTCTATCGCTAATAGTTTCGGCAGCGCATTCGACGAAAGACATTTTTAACTGTCAAACACCAAGCGGTCACCGGTGACCGCAACCTATTGTTCTATAATTGTGTCTACAAAACCGGTACTCGACGAGTTAAGACTCATTTTTCTACACCTTCGGTTACATTATTCAAATTTTACCAAGGATCCCTAATTTTTTTCAAAATGAAATGTACCCTATGTCAAATTGGAAGAATGTAGCATTCTATTGGTGAAATATTTTTTTAAATCGGCCCAGTACTTTTTGAGCCTATTCATTACAAACATACAAAAATAGGTACAAATCTTTCCTCTTTAAAATATTAGTATAGATACGTACTGTAATGGTTTAGCTTTCATCACATTCATGCATCTTCATACCAGCCTGCCCGCTTAGGATGCTTTGCACTTGACTTTCTACAGTATAATTTATGTTTGTTTACAGATTTGACAACAATGTTTGGTTTGCTACTCACATTGCTGGGTTGGGTGGGTCTGAGCCCAGTGCCCTTTCTGGCTGGAGTCATAGGGGCCACTGAACCAGCACTCAAGCTATTGATATCGATATTAATAGCATACCCACTTGCGATTGTATACCATAAATATGTACGGCAACATGTGGAATATAGGAACTTGTATTTCATAGCAACGGGGTTAGACATGGCTTACTATAACTTTGGTATCTCCATGTACCATAATGCCATACCAGCTTTAGTAATATATCTAACCACCAAGTTATTTGGGCCAGGAAAAGTAAATTCGGTCATCACTTTTGCTTTCAATATGGCGTACCTACTCGCTGGGTATGTGGTGACTGAGTCTGAAGAATATGATATAACTTGGACTATGCCCCACTGCGTGCTGACCCTCAAGTTGATTGCACTGTCGTTTGATTTATGGGATGGAAAGAAGATGCTAAAAGGACAGGAACTATCAGCAAACAATAAATTAACAGCCATAGAAAGCTCACCAACATTTTTGGAGCTGATTGGATTTGTTTATTTCCCTGCGTGTTTCCTAGTCGGACCTATATTTTCCTTCAGGCGTTACAAAGATTATATTACCGACAAATTTCCCTTGGATAAAGAAAAAGCCGTGTACGAAGCGCAAGCTATCAAGCGACTTGTACAAGGACTAATCTATTTGGTTGCATATCAAGTTGGAGGTAAGAATCATTAGGCACTTATACATCATTGATATATTATTATTTATTTTACATTTATAATTATACATGTTAATGAGAGTCAATGATGTAAAGTCAGAAGTTTTAAAGAGATATTCGGTTGAAAATGACAAGTCATTGTTTTTTGTTTCAGTTACTGTATTTAATATAAAATATATGCTGTCCGATGAGTTCAGAGAAACATCTATTTTCTATAGGCATTTCTACTGTGGACTTTGGGCTCACTTTGCCTTATATAAATACATTTCCTGCTGGCTGCTCACTGAAGGTAAATAAATTACTCTTATCATAGAACATATCTATGTTAGTTCCATGCTATACCAAATATTTCAACATGTGACCTAAATTATATCAATAATCTAATACCTTTAAACGAGCAATTGTTGTATATATAAATATCTCGATCTCGGAAACAGTTCTATCAATTTTCTTTACATGTTGAAATTGGGGATTTCAGGGTGGTAAATCGATCTACCTAGGTTTCATTTTTAGAAAATGTCGCTGGGTTGGTGTTAACATCGAATAAAAATCCTTACTAGCATATGAAGCTATAATTCGCCATTACATATTATGAAGTTGAAACAATAATAATTAATAAAGTACAGAGAGGGCACGTCTGCGCCTGCTACGCAGGACATTTGAGTTTAAACCTCAGCCTGAATATTTATTTTTCTGTTTTCTATTTTACTTTTTTGTCCTATTTTGTTTTTAAATTTTTTGGTCATTGTTTTCTATATTTTTCTTTTTTCTTTTCTAAAAATATAATGATTTACTAAAGCGAACAGTGTGTCAAGCACAGTCATCCAGTTACTAAAATGACAATTATAGGTTGAGGACACTCCGATATTGTTATTGATTACGTAATTATCGGATCATAAAGAACGAATACAACAGTCACCAAATACAATTGTAACTAGTAAGAAATGCAAATCGTTTGTTTTAACATAATATGGTTGTAAACCTTTTACTCCAATTTCAAAACAATACATGGAAGGAACAATCGAAGTACTGTAGATAACTACTAATGCAGCATTAAAATGTAAATTAACTAAAGAGTGCAATGAGGTCATTTCACTTGGTATAAATTAGTTGAAATTACGGCAATTGATATTGTTCTTGTTGAGATATGTCACATGTCTGGCAGTTTATTGCATCCCAATCAATTGAGTGAATCAGTAATGGCAATCTCGATTCCTAAATTGAAACAATTTGCTTTTACTCTCACTCCATAATAAAAATGTATCTAATTCAACCTACTTAAGGTATTGACCATAATTGATTATTGTTGCAGCATCATGTATCCGGTTTGGATTGTCATTCAATGGCATGGAGACCAAAGGCTACCCGCAGGTGAGCAAGTGGGATGGTTGCAACAACATCAAGTTACTGCGGTTCGAAGGCGCCACGCGGTTCCAGCACTACATCGACAGCTTCAACTGCAACACCAATTACTTCGCCGCTGAATACGTATACAAGCGACTCCGCTTCCTCGGTAACCGCAACCTTAGTCAGCTAATTACGCTCGCGTTTCTCGCACTATGGCACGGCACACAGTCCGGATACTACATGACCTTTTTCAATGAATTTATTATAATGGTCATGGAGAAGGATATCGAAGTAATGCTTACCAAAACACAATTCTATCATAAAATGTGGGGCAACACAATCTTCAAGTACCTGTTATACATAATTCTTAAAACCTACACCATAGTGTTTATGGGCTGGAGTTTGGCACCGTTTGACGCTAAGAGCTTTTCAAAATGGTGGTCCATATACGCCAGTTTGTATTTCTCAGGATTTATCCTTTTCTTGCCATGGACTTTTGTCTATAAACCTCTAATCAAATCTGGTTTAAAATCCTTAGAACAGAATGAATCAAAAACTCAGTAATTTTAAGTTCGATACATTTAATTAGTAATGATAATGCGTTAGTCCTTTTTCACACGCTCCGGTTGCCGGGCATCGGGTGGTGAATGTACATTGGAACATACCCGGTACGTATCCTAACTAATCTAACGTAGCAATACACGACTGGTTACTAACAACTGGAGCATGTAAAAAGGGCCTTAGGCCTGAAACTGCGTTAAGCGGGCGCCCGCGATGGTCAACCGTCGTGTGAATACGTGTGTGGATACGCGGGTGGGCTCCCTGGATACGCGACGGTCCTCATCGCGGGTATCAAGACTAATTTACGCAGTGTCGGTAGTTCAATTCTAACGGTGTGCTTGTATATTCGTGTCGATCCAGAACTTAATATATTATTACGTAGCAAAACGACGACTAGTAAAAAATCGACACCCCGTAAGCCGGTTTATCAAATCTTAAGTTGTTGTGCGGGGAATTTGTCGTAAAGATCAGAAAATTGAGTGAAAATCAGTCATCACTCATTTTAAAAATATGTATTATAAAGTTTCGGTACATGTCTTCGCGTAACAGATTCGATTTCCGCACGGAGCAAATCTTTGTGTGATCCACAAATTGTAATACCTAGTGTGGGGGAAACTATTAAAAAAATTGAAAATAGGTCTACAACGAATTATTTTCGGAACTGGAACCATATTTTCAAATTCCCCCGGTCCCATATGGCAACCGTGACACTGCACTTCCACAATTACCCTCTGTATTAAAAGACATTGTTCTTGATTTTAGCTGAGCGTGAATTCAAGCTGTATCACCCAGCGTTATTGACTAAACAAGCCCGTACGTGTTACCGCTGGCGGGCACCGGGCGTGCTCTGCGACGGGTCCCGTCGCACGGTGGCGGGCCCCGTTGCGTGGGTGCGAGGCACGCGTCCCCGTGACGGACACTCGCGCTGGTCCCCGTGACGGAGCACATTTATATGACACCACGCGGGTGCCTGCTTAGCGCAGTTTCAGGCGTTAAGGTCTAAGGTTCTTTAAGTAACGGCTATTGTTCTACAAAGTACCAAAATCGTGCAACTCAGTGTAATAAACAATAATAGCTTTATTTTATTTTTTACTGTATTGCGTTACTCGGTTATGGTATAACGTTAAGTTATACCAACGGTAAGTTGTTCGATTTTCGCATTTAGCATAATACTGATGGTTCAAAGAGTTAACTGTTGCATGTCGTACATATACATAAATAACAAAAATTGCCTAAGTACAATTTGGACTTTGCGCACGACCAGACTATGTAGCGTCTATGAGACGCCGATGACTTCCCTGGATTGGACTCCTGGTCGTGACGTTTTAGACATTTTACATTATAAATATTAATCATGGTTGTATTTATTTACTTTTTTTAACGGAATACATAAATAGTTGCCACATCAGTGAATCTTGTTGATATTGCTGTTATTCAGTTTCAAAGGAAATCGCCCAACCTCGATACATTTTCGGAGTAATTCCAAAAATACTGGTTAATAAAAATAAATCTAACTAAGGCAGACAATAATATTGATGGATTTCTTAGCTAGACTGTTAATTACTGCCACTCTGACATGACCTTTGGAAAACGCACCCACATAGGAGATAAAATCCTAGTGCGGGGGCTAAATGGACTCAAAAGTTGATGTGCAATATTTATGACTGGGTATTGTACATAGTAGTAGCCATAGTAAAGTACACCATTTTTGCCTATTTTATTTGCGGTTTAATGAATTATTGACACTGCCGCTGAGTAAGCCTTTGGGAAATTAAATATGAATGCATAATCTACTGATTTGACGGTAATGATGATCATGTTAGGAACTTGAATAAAAAATAATGAATTAGTTAATGATTGACACATAACACCGTTAGTATTTAAAAAATAACAAAACTACTCACTCTCTCTCAAGTATTATGTAGGTACCTATATATTTTTATACCAAAATGTTATAAGTATTTGTAATAACTCCTTTCGCACAATTGCTATTGTGTATTAATTTGTATTATTATAATACAATATTTCTTTCTTTTAATTTCTTGGCTCAAAATTAGTACTTTCTAATTCTTCTAAACTAATAATTAGTAATAGGACTGGTTTACCTCATTGGTAGCCGGTGCTCTTCTATGATGCTGAGTTAAGTTCGAATGATTTGAAAAGTGGTTTTAAATTGAGTTTGCACCCCTGGCTACCCCTTCAGGAATTGACAGATATTTTCTTTCTCTACATACAATTGAACATTTCGAATACCTTATTTCTTACATAGAAATTCTAGGATATTTATAAACAACATAATACCAGTTTTACTTGAGTGTTCCGTGCCCATAGCACATTTTCAGCAGTCTTTTATCTTAAAAAACTGATAGAAAATGTTATCACCTCTTTACCATACCTTCAGTACGACGTCCAAAATTCTGGCAGGTGTCATAATAAAATGGGACCAATTTTGATGTATTTAAGAAGAACATCTTTAAGAGCGATTCTTCTATTCTTTAGTTGATTCTAAATAAATTATAATTATGCACAATAGCTGTTCTCTATCTAAATTAAATATATCTGAGCATTTTTTTACTTAGGCAGTGGCCAGTCAGTATCATATTATAGTTATTATTACTTTTTATTTATTAGATATTTTATTAATATATCGAGAATAATGTCTTTTCTAATTTTAAGTTTCTTTGAAAGCGTAATGTTCAATGTGTATGTATGTCATTAAACGTTTAATAGGATTTGACTTTGGTATTTATGTATTGTATAACTGATTCTTCTTAAATGGTTCATTAATCTGTCCCTTAAAAATTATGTTACACTTAGATTGTAGCACTGTGAAGCAGCATATTGAGTTTTATCGTTTTTTCGAAAAATTCTTAGAGTTAATCTTGACTTGGTCTAATAAATAAAAATAGTGAAAAGTGGGAGTTACATTAAATATTTTGCTCTGACTTTACCTCCGGGGATGGAAAGGCTTAATGTTATGGCATCAATTCTAGTTATTTCTCGGTTAAGAATTAACTGATGATTGAAAAATCGGCCCCTAAAAGTTGAACATAATTATATCCGTAATCAAACAATGTCTAATAGTATTTATTATATTTCTATTTTCACAACTCAGCTATGTCTATCATAGTATTAGAGCAAATTAAAATTCAATAATCATCTACTTTTGTTATCGACCGTAATTATACGAAACATAAATTTATTTTCTATTATGCTATCTCGACTTCAATGAGAGTAGTTGAAACTATTATTCTACGAAACTGTTGATTTATTATAGAGAAATAGAAAACATATTCCTAGATATTAAATCTATATTTAAAAAGAAAATTATTAAATATTGTACGTCCCTCAGCTATGTCTATCATAGTTTTAGAGCAAATAAAAAATTCAGTAATCATCTAATTTTATTATCCAATCTAATTATTATTATACGAAACATTAATTTTTCTATAATGCTATCTCGACTTTGATGAGTAGTTGAAATGATTATTGTCTGAAAATTTGATTTATTATTGACAAACAAAAAATATATTCCTAGATATTCAATCAATATTTAAGAAGAATATTATTAAATATTGTAGGTCACGGTGTGATTCATACGGAAGAAGCAGGCTCCTTAGAACAGATGTGATCAGAAATTATCATACCATAAGAAAGCTTAATTCTACCCTAATATAAGAAATTTGGTTTCCATGTCTCTGTAAAGCTGACGATTAGTTAAAATATATCATGGAACCTCCTTCTCCCGTATATTAAAGATTAATTTGTTCCTATTCTATCATTTTAATTTGACCATTATTTAAAATTGTGCAACTTCTTATTTGTATGGCGTTACTCATTGACTGACAGGTATCAGTCGATTGCGTGTCGTATACATCGTTATGTCGTTATCATTATTTTATTAGTAAACATTTAGATATTATTATTTATATCCAACTATCTCTTCCCTTTCCAATTAATGTAACAAGATATTAGTATTCTCACGTACAATTATAAAAATACATTGATCAATTAAAAACATTAAGAGTTAAGTGTAAGTTATTGGATACTACTGTTTGCTATAAGTGTTTCTCATAATAAATGTTTCCTTCTAGCTAAACAAGCGAAGTAGCAAGTAAGTTCCCCCTGATATTGCCTAGCCTACAGATTAAAAACTTGTGCTCTTATAAACCGTTTGGATTTATCGTAGATTGTTAGGTTAGAGACTAGTCTGATAAATATAATAATTATAGTATATAAAAAACAATTCAACTAAATAGTGGAAAAGGGCTGTAATAGTTGTAGCCTTATTTTTACGATTGTTGCTTAGTTAGTAGTAAAATATAACCTTACAATGCCGATTCAGCCTCATAAATATATTGTTCAGTTTATTTATGTATTACAACAGTTGATAGATAATAATTACATGCATAATGTACTCATGGTCCAGGAATTAAGGAATATTTACGTTGTGCAATTAGTGTAATGCATTCTGTTACTCAAAGTTACATTGTGCAACATAATAATAGAAAAAAATACACATAAACATTACATTAATCCAAATTCTTTGATTTTATAATAATTTCATCTCTATATTAATTCTTTAAGTTTTGTAAATTGTAAAAGTTATTTTAAAAACATTGTAACATATCTACATTTTGTGGAAAACGTGCTACTTATCTTACCATGGGACCAACCAGATATGTGGAAAACGTTTACTTACCTTAAGTTTAAATCTATAAAACCTATTCCAATAATTTAAAGGTCCTTATGTCCACAGTACCCACATATGATTATAATGTTCTTAAAATAGCCACGCTTATTAATAACAACTGCATAAATAATACAATATAATATTTTCCAATTAATTGTTATTTCACATTATTGTACTGTCTATTTTCGAATGATAATGATTAAATGTATGTACCTAATACATGTTAATTATTATTATTTAGGCCAATGAACGGGTATCTATAGAAAATTTGAAAGTATTAACCCTCCTTTTGGGGTTCGCCGCGGTCGGATAAGAATATCTATGATTATATTATTGATGTTAATCATTCTCATATCAGCCACAAGACGTCCACTGCTGAACATAGACCTCGAATATTTTACCTTTCAAATTTTATACAGGTACCCCCAATGAGCGTTTTGCGAAATAATGTTAGTTAAAAATAAAAAGTTTACATCATTTGTTTATGCGGGATATAGAATGGTAAAAATATAAGTATATAAATATTGGCACAGAATCAGTGCAGCAATTGACTGTTTAGTAATATCTCTCAAATGATTTATTGTGTATCGGTTGTATTGTAAACAGCGTTTTGATCTTAAAAGTGACGGACTATTTGAAGGGGCAAACCTTTGGTCAAAACGTAAAATACCATTGTGAAAACATAGTGGGTTTATAGTACTGTTCAATTAATATTGTCATCTCCAAATGCATGCGAAGATTCTTATTGTAATTATTATTAAATCACGTAGATCTATAGATAAAACAATTTACAAGTCGAATACCATGAAACCACGTTTATTTAATTATGAAAAGTTTATATAATAAAGATAATATAATATAATTATAATTGCATACAACGAGTTTTATTTAACATCCTTAGTTTATTTATTCAAGAAGTTATATTCTTCCTTTTTTATCATGAGACCATAGATATAACAAACGAGTTATTGGATGCACCAACAGGTTTTAAAAAATATCTTATTTTTCCCTAAAACTTATAGAGGTAAGTAAAAGATCACGCTATTTTACTCAACTTTGATGTTTTCTTGAAATTTCGATATTAATGCAACAAAGTCTTTTGTAGTACCTACAGAAATCGAAGGTAAATGTAAAAATATGAAACATGCATTGAATCGATTTAGCATATATATTTCTAGATCATCGCCTTGGATATGTAGGTACGTAGGTACTCAACATGCCTATACGTACCCATATGTATAGCTCGCCATGTACCTATGCGATCGATTTAACGATTAAATTTTATATGAAGGTGAATCTATGTGCAATGCTCAAAATAATAGTAAAATGGATTTATGATCATGCAGCAAAAAAGATAAAAATGAAACTACCTACTGTACCTTCCTACTTATACTTTTTGTCGTCGACGTCGCTGATGCAAAAATATTTCTGTTCGTATGTTTTCATTTAGCTACCTACCTATCTACCTATTATATAAAATTATTATATTTTATTTAACATAGAAACTGTGCTGTTTTGTATGACATCGTCTACAGTCGCATCATTGACAAAATTACACCTGTAACAGTCGCAGTTTTCTTGTTGGGTCGTAATTATATTATGGTACAACTACCGATATGAACTTTCACAGATGAGGTCTCAGATTCTTCTCATGTACACCACCAATGGTAACGGGATTTATAATGATTACCCTACTTCCAACAAAGTGTAGTGTATGGAGGACCTCACCCTAGAAGTACCTAGCGTAAGGTAGTATTTAGGTTGGTCACTCATCATCCAACTAAAGTCACTCCTAAGGGTACATATCACATCTCTCATTGATTGCTCCCGAAGCCTCCATATTGCATGTAGGTAATCCTATTTTATGTATGAGTAAATTAGCGTGGAACAAATGATACATATGTGTATACCTACGCTGATTAACACATTACCCTCTTTTACTAATAGTCGGATAAAAATCACTGCGCTTTTTAGCTCCTAGATAAATTCTTTAGTCCAATATATTGACCTTATCCACTTAGGTATTGTGTAAATGCACCACGGTATTCAACGTAGGTACGTGCAGCGTTATCAAATCAAACAAGGCGACACAGTTTATAGTAGAGGTCAAATTCATACTAGGACATCGTGTAACCTATATCTAGCTAAGTAGGTGACTGAGTTCACAGAGTTATTTTTCTTTTGATGCACATTTGTAATGTTAATGTACTTGTGTAGAAAACGTTAATTACTTACTGACTATAGACTAGATTAGACTGTTTGTAACATGATCAGAGGTAGTACATAATACTTTTTTTTTTTTTTTTTTTTAAGGGGGGAAAATCATCGAATGACTGCCCCCGCCTGGGTGAGGCGGGAGGGAGTGTCAGACTCTTACTGACTAAAAACCACCCCGTTCCTTCTCCTGCACGTCGAGCCGGAGCCCCGGTTACCCGTTAGGTTCTCCGCGACAGTACATAATACTTGCGAATACGATAGGTAATGATTAAAATAACGATAATGAAATCGAATTGGATTGAAATCTAAATAATTGTATGGAGTTTCTTTCAAAAATAGCTTATCTTGTCTGAACGTTTTGTAAAAGGGCCAAATTAAAAGTAGGTACCCTTAACCGACGACTGACGAGTATGCATGGAATGATTGACGACTGTTGAAGCGAAACAGTTATGTATTAACTCGTCGAGTAGGTACCGGTTTTGTAGACACAATTATAGAACAATAGGTTGCGGTCACCAGTGACCGCTTGGTGTTTGACAGTTTAATTGGCGTTCCATAGTCTCTGCCTACCCCCATGGGAGACAGGCGTTATGATTTGTATGTATTTGTTATAAAATTTAAGCTATTATTAGCAAAAGGGTACTTAATGTTCTACCTGACATAATTCAAAATCAATCGTTTGAACGAGAATCTCACCTTTTGTCACCACACAGTCTTTGACTACCATGTGACCATACCGTCAGTGAACATTTATTACACTTTGATATAATTTAGTGTCTTGTAAATTACTGTTATACACTACTATTGTTTGCAACGTGTATTATATGATTTATTTATATTTGCTCTTATCTACTAAAATGTCCCTGTTTATGTCTACTTGGGAATTGCATTATAAACTATATATTTTTGGTCTACCATGCAATTGTGATTATGATTTCTGTATAATCAATAGTTTGCCACATTTTATTAAATTATACTAGTCATTCTTGTGCTTTGTTTTTGAGAGTAAAAATTATACATTTACCTACCTTACCTAAGACACTCAAGGCGTTTGTATATCCCTGTATTGATTTATTCATTTGGTACCTACTTATAAATTGACCAGTTTCATTACTTTCTGTTCTGAGAAAAATGTAAGTAGGTACCTAGTCTAGTACGAGTAGACTAGTGTGCAATAAAGGACACATACGTTGATAAACAATTACCCTCCTTTGCTATAGTCGGATAAAAATCAATGTACTTGTTAGCTCCCATGATTTTTTCTTAGTCGATTTCCTCACTGCTGAGGATCGTGACTCCCTCTGATTCTGCTCACTAGATGTCGCCATTTATCTCGTTCCGTTGCCTAGTCATTGCAACATTCATAGGTATCTCCAGCTCCTTGGATATTTGGTCAGACCACCGTATGGGACTCCGGCCTCTCGGTCTCTTTCCTTCTACCTTACCGGTCACTATGAGGCGTTCCAGACTGCCCGCATTTCTGCGAGCAATATGGCCAATATATCGCACAATCCTTTGCAAGCAAACTGTGGACAAGCGCTGAGTTTTGTCCATTATTAGCTCCCAAGATATTGAGATCAAATTCTTTAGTCCAATATACATTATACATTATGCAAGTCTGTGGGTTAGTCACCCAAAAAGGTCGCTGGATGTCCTGCGCATCCAATATAACAATATCTTCAGGATGATGTTGGGGCTGCCCCGATTCTGTAGGTACTCGGACATTTACACGTACGTACGTACATCGGGGATTTTCGCACTACATCGCACTGATGGATTTCACGCCGTTATTCGCAAAAAGAGCATCCCTGATCTGCAGATTGCGTGGCAGCCGGAACAAAATCCTGGAGACTGTGGCGGATAGAGTGCTTGTCATCCCCACTCTGGAGGTCATTTGTGAGAAGAGTTATTTAATAATTTAATTTAATAATAATTATGTATTTCTGTCTGGTTGAAATTTTGAATCTATGTTGACATCTTCTCTTTCGGTCTTATTAATAAAAATCTCCTATTCCAAACTTATTCACAGATTAGTCTTGGACTAGCTAATCCCGGACTAACAAAGTATTAACTTCAGAATTGAATTCCTATTAATAAACATGGAATAACCTCGGAATAACAATACTATCCTTACACTAGGTTTAATCCGTTTATTATGGTAACCCAGAAATATTAAAAGTAAAAAGACTGAGAAGGAGGTATGAAATCGTATGAAACCTATGAATTCACTGCTTTATTGACAGATGTATGTTAGCTTGACATCTTGACAAATAGCTGTCGCTGTCAGTTTTGTTTAAAAACGTTCGTCGAAATATTATTAATTTCTTATAATAAATACAATTCAATTTATAAATAACGAAAAACGAGCGAAAAGCACAGCCGCGCTATTAACTAGCGCAAAGAATAAAAGGTGCCTGTTAATTATGGCGTATCTTAACAAAGAAAAAATGTCTTCATATTGTTTATATATTTTTAGATTTCAGCCATAAAATTATAACGCCTCGATTCCTAAATAATATTTTCAAATCATTGAAAATAAATCGTTAAGCACAAACACCAACACAATTAAGATGAAAGAGTGGGAGGAAATATTATACATACCTATACAAAGTAAGATTTTTTCAGCATTTTTATTTTATTCCATTTGTTCAGATCAAATTTGTTCAGAGATAATAAGATCAAGCATGCAGCTGAATATGTAGGCAGTGTGTATTATGTTAACCTATAGTATCTGAATCACATAATGCTGTAGTTATTTGGCTAAAAATTTTATCATATTTACATTCATTTTATGTATTTTTTAGGTTTATCGAGTTGTATAGCAGACGTGATTTAAGTCAGCTGAAAATTCAGTAGCAGCCATGAAGATCAATGCTTGAAAACAAAAAGCTAATACAACAGGCCACTTGGATTGATATTTACCTCTCCTCGGGCCTATATTCCGATTGCACTCAAAACTTTCAAATATGGTGGTATAAAGCCACCTCTTGCGTCACCAGCTAGACTATTTTTAACCATGTTAATAATAAAAACTGCAGTAAATCGGTATTTTGATTTCTCTTCTTCTTCACGTTTCTCTATTCTACTAATATTATATAAATACGAAAGATTGGATGTTTGTGACTTCTTCACATCAAAACGGCTGAAGGGATCGAGATGAAAATCGATACATATAGACCCCTATTATGGTCTGGAACTCTAAAATGACACGAAGGCTTTTTATTCCACGAAAAGCTAGTCCTACACACTTCTATACTCGAAGTCGATTTTCAACCTCATCAACTCTCTCAATAACTCGAGATGTTGAATAAAATAATATTTATCCATTTTACCACGTTTTACAATGATAGAATGACTTTTTATTTATAAAAAGTTGTTGCGTTTTTACGTAAAAATCGAATCCATACTAATATTATAAATGAGAAAGTGTGTGTGTCTGTTTGTTTGTTCGTCTTCCGCGACAAAACAAAGCGAATTGACGTGTTTTTAAGTTGAGATAAGTATTTGAAGAGATAGAAAGTGAGATGGGCTACTTTCTGTCTCTTTCTAGCCCCCTACTTCCTTAAAATGGTGGGTTTATAAGCGTTTCACAATTTTCAAATAAGAAAGATTAAAATTGGTATTTTGACTATTTGTGACTAACAAAAAACTTCGTG